ACCACTGTTTTGACCACTCAAGCTTCTACTAAGGTTAAAGTCTTTGGAAGTTTGATTATTTGTAAATAGATAGGTTGATTACTTCTTCATGCATAAATGTTCTGAGCATGGTGCTTCGGAGCTTGTTACACATCTTATTGATACAGTAAAATTTCCGCTGCAGGTGTACAAAGCCGTGGGATCAAAGAGCTCTGAACAAGTGTTGGAGGTAATGCAACTATGAGGAAATGTGTTATAGATTGTTCTTCTTTGTGTTTTTATAGGGTTAGATCTTCTTAGTGCATTGTGGATCGATTCCAAAAGTTTGGTCCTTGTCTACGGCAAGAAATTCTAAAATCTACTATATGAATACAAGAAATAAAATCAGGTCTTACTGACAGTTATTTTATTGAACTTGATGATGCAGAAAAAGTAAACGAATGATTAGTTTTGGAAAGATAGCTGAAGGAGAAGAAAAAGGAAAATGAGAACCTGAAATTGGTGTCAGAATGGTGAGGTTGAAATTGTGTGATAATGGAGTCCTAGAGTTTGAAAGATTTTGTATTAGTTCATAGGGAGAGATCACGAGATGATAGATTTTTTTGAGGTAACTTTCCTTCATGATACATTCTTATGTATTTTAAGAAGTTGATATAGACTTATAAATGAAAAGACATGAAAAAAGGATACATAACAGCCTCCACTTCTAAATGCAGCCATAAGAAAAGGATACAATGGTGTGATCGTTAGCTCTAAATTATATAATAAGGTATCCTTCTGACATTCTTCAACACCAGTTCCAATTAATTAGGAACAAGACAGAGAATATATAGCTTAAATTATATTTTTTTGTTAACGGATGACCGATAATGAGGCTTGTTGGAGGACATGTAGCAAGTCATAAAGAGCATATCATTATCTTCTTTTTGTTATTTGTTCTTTTCTTTGGGCTCATTTCAACTGTCTCATCTGATACCTAGCTAGAACTCTTAGTAAAAGTGGCTGTTTATGCCATGCAGTAGGCAAGAATAGGAAGCAATGCCTTTTTGGCTGTAATTCCAGATCCAGTCACCTGTTTCTCCACAGCAAAATATTCTCAGAGGCAAGTGTTCAAAGTTGTCTCAGACTCAAGTGTGCTTCTTGTTGACTGGATAACTAGTGGCCGTCATGAAAGAGGAGAAAAATGGGATTTTGATCTTTATAAGAGCACGAATCACATCTTTCATAATGGTGATGAGCCTTTATTTCTTGATACAGTAAGCTTCTTCCTTTTATCAGTCCGGAATTTTTTACTTAATGTAATTCTTTAATAAAGTAAAACTGTATCAGCTGTTTTTCAGTCTGCTCTTTCCGTAGCAAGAAATCTAGATGATAGTCACATAAGTATGAGTTTTGCCCTTCAGGCTAATTGAAATTTAAAAATACTTTGCGGTTTTTGCCTTTAACCTGTCAAGCAATTCTTTTATTGCCTGCATGTCAAATTAAGAGTTTATTGTTGTTTTTTTCTCTTTAACTTGACTTCTCTCTTGCGTAACTTGCTCTGACTAGCAGGCTTAACATGATCTAGATTAAAAGTGTCAACAAGGAGGGGATTTTCCTTGTAGCTGACCCTGGATAGTTGTAACCCTGCACAATCTAATATGTTCAGTACTGACATAATGAGGAACAGAAAATCAAAAGATCATGGTATCATGAATTGATAACAGGAAACACTTAAATACAAAGAAAAAAGCAGCCAAACATTTTTAACCATGTAAAAGAAAAAGTTTATGAGGAAAATTCTCTCCCTTGTGCTATGCTTTCTCAGCTCCTATTCTCCTCTTCTTAGATAATACTGCACTCTGCTCTTCTCTATTGCTGTGAAATTCTCAGTGGTCCTCTTGAGCTTCTGGTATTTTGTCTTCATTTTGGCTCATCTGGTCTTTTTGCTAAATGATGTGAACATCGAGAAGAAGATTTTTCCAATTGAAATGGCAAGTCGTCCTCTGCCTTTCCTTATTATGCTTGATACAACTCGAAATGAAAATGGTAATGAGCCATAGTATTCAAATGATTGTCAATCCTCAAGAGCCAAAGAGAAGAAATAGAGAGACAATGAATTGCAGTAACACCTTTTGAACAATTATAAGGAATTAGCTATATCTGCCTTACATCAGGTTAAGGCTGTTTTGTAACTATATACTGGCCTAATCCATCTTGTACAACCTTCAACCCATGTAGTAGATAGCCACTCGTAACTAATAGGTGTATGAGGTGCACATTAGTATAGCTGGAAATGAGTCATAAAAGTGATTTACCATTTCTCTTTTTTGTTCTCCAACTATTCTACTAGATTTAGTCCAAAAAGTTTTTGGTTTTGATCCCAGTGTCTCCGCCCTTGTCACTTCCCTGCCTCTTAGCTGGACCCCTACTGTCTGCTTTCTACTTCTTCTTTGTATCTCAATAACACAGAACCTAATCTTCATTTTTGAGCATGAGTCACGGTCCTGTCCATCTCCAAAAAGGGTCTTAGAATTATCACTTGGTCCATTGCACGTCCACGATTGCTCCTTTTTCCAATAGGGGATCTCCCTCGCATACCTATTGCTGATTTTATATTTCAAATTGGATGTTCAGAGTGACTCGTCAGAAGATCATGATTTTTCGTGTAAGCTGCAGCCGCTAACTGTTTACTTTTAATCAGATATTGTTAGAACAAGGAACACATGCAGGTATTGCTGAACGTATGCAGGACTATCAAGTGATCGCAATGGTGATACTATTGGGGTATGTATAGGTTACTCACCGTGTACTTAAAAAAATCTCTACTCCCCTGTTGTCATTCTTTTTCTCGTTTCTTGTGCAATTTTTACGTTTTAAGTCCGCATTTCTCTTTCTTGAACGAGAAGGAAGGAAGTTGCATAGACTTATCCATTTTTTGTTGCTTGTTTGCAGGCCAAAGTTGAAGCTTATTCAAAACCAAATCCAGGAAGATGTAAAGAAAATGATGTCTCGGAGTTTACACATGCCTACAATTGGTTCAAGACAGAACAGTAATAGACATAATGATTAGGAGGCTCCTCACGAGCTAGGAGCCAAGCCAGTGCACCTCAGTTCGATAGCACTCGGTTTGTATCCAAATTAGCGGAGGATAGATACAACCAGAAAGCAGCTAAGAAGTTGCTCCATGAGGTACATAT